AAATATAAAATCGTAGCCTTAACTTGGACACACATTTGGATGCGATAGATTACCACAGGCGTAGCGTCCACTACCTGGGAAAGAAAGGGGATTAATAAAAATTGGTACAGACTTGAAAATAATAAATGAAATTAGTTATCTACCTGATAACTAATACATATAATCTTCGCTTCTAAACCATCTGGAATGATAATAATTTTTATCTGATATACTTATACTTACAAAATCTTCCTCAATGTTTATTTAAATTCTAAATTCAGTTTTCAAGTCATTAATAAAACCAGTTAACAAATAAGCAGTAATTTTTTTGAACTAAGTAATCTATCATATACTTTTTCGTTAGCAACCTCTAATTTTTACAAAAAAATTAGTCCGCTTCAATTGGTCTAAATAATTATGCCATTTTCAAATGTAATTTTGGGCTGATGCCTGCAATACAGCTAGCACCTCGATAAATGACATTTTACAGGTGTTTCAACTTTTTTTAAAATATGGCACCAAACAGTGCAAAGTACTAAAAAATCCACCAGAGGTCGGTAGAAGAGAACTGCGAACTATCAGAAAAATTCAGTTAATTTTATCTTTATCAAGTAAAAAATACATCTGTATCCATTTTTTTAAATGGTAATTTATTAATGTCTACTAATTATACTCTATGAACAGACGAAATGAGAAGTAAAAACAACGAGAAGAAAAATACTAATATATTAATAATAATAATAATAATAATAATATTAATAATAATAATAATAATAATAATAATAATAATAATAATAATAACCACCTATATATTTCATCAAAACAAAGTGAGTACCTTGGTATTTTTTATCATTTTTATAGTGTACGAGACAACAATAATTAAATAAGGAAAATAGTTTAAATATTGTTCAAATGGATTTTGAAAAATTAAGTGTTGACATTTTGATGTTTTACATAATTAACAAACACATTCCAAAGATACATGCTTATTTTGTTACCAGTCCTAAACAATCCCACATGGAGGGATCTCCTAATTGCAATAAAATGTGGTTCTTAAAGATGGCAAATTGATGAAAGGGGTAGGTACAAAATTTAACCTTAATTACCTATATGAATAAGTGGTGTATTAAACTTTTAATTTATAGGCAGAGGATTTTTTTCAATAGATTTATTAATTTATACTACTTTAATCATTTACAAAATAAATCAAAGGTTTGTAGGTGTAGGTACACACAGATTTATAAAGAAAAACGAAGGAAAGGTAGGTCTTTTCAAGTGTAGCAATTTTATTAGTATTGTCCAAGAGCTTGCATTATAAATGTAAAAAAAAGAATAATTGTTATCAATCATTCCATTGTACTTGTTTACATTTATAATATCCTAATGATGTCTTAACAGGTGAACTGCTAATTCTAATAATATGTACACATACACATTTAAAAAATTGAAAAAAAACCGTTATTCGTTTTTTTTTCTTTGTCTATAAAATGATATAAAGCAATTACAACCGTTCTTATTATTTATTTCTACATCGTCCACTTCTACTTTTGATATTTAAATTAACATTTGACATCAGTCATTGCGTTCGGTCTGCCAAGCTCCTTTAACTCCTTTAACCCTTTTAGCGTTTGGTTTATTACATCTTTTTTCAACTAGTTTTATTTCAATAAACATTTAACAGATCAAATGGAGGATTTTTTTAAGTACATTGTATCAGAAGCCTTTTTCTACAAATTTCACTGATAGAGTAAAAAAAATAAATATGTATCTTAGTGTGTATAAATAATCATTAAAAATAAGCGAGCACTTTCGGCTTTACAAAGCCATGTTCGAAATTCACTACATTTGTCTAAGAAGGATATCTTTTTAAATTAGATATTCGAACAAAATGTGGTCGAACTAAATAACTTTGGAACAAAATTTTTTCGAACTAAATAACTTTCAAACAAAATTACTTCGAACAAAAATTTTCGAACAAAATTCCGCGACACATCTTTTTCTAGCTTAGTATAAATGTTTAAACTTTATTTGTTTCAATGTACAAGATTGATCTAACGTAATATTAGAAAATGTATGTGTTACTTAGTATTCTATATAGTTGAAAATAATTTATTGTATATATTTATTCTTGCCGATTAACATTAATTATTGATTCATAGTTAGGAGGATTTACTTCTATGTTTAATAAATTATGGCAGGCTTTTTTAAATAATCGTTCATTTCTTGATCTATTAGAAGTACATTTTACTTATTTTAATAAATATGAATCAACAGTAGGGGAGTGGGGATACATTTGATATAGTTATAGTAGGTATAATTATGCTGTATATTGTTATTTAAAAGAAAAAAAAAAAACTATTCTGATATGCAAATATATCATGTAACATATTGAATAATGAGGAATGGGATATCAATTAGACACTTTTAACATAATATCAAAAAATGCAAAATAAACATTTATTGATAGAACATAACAAAAGTATGACTACTTAATTAGGTAATTCCTGAAATTAACATCAAACTCAAAATATTTATTTTTAAAGCCAGCATTATTTTGGCATTACTTGTATCCTAAAGTATGGTGACCATATTTCTTTTGACGCAGTGTTGGACGCTGATCACGAATAAAACATTAATGAACTTTGGAGAGGTGAGGACTTTTTAAGCTCTCCAAAGATAAATACAAAAAAACGAGAAGTAATGTAGAGGACCTTCTCTTAGCTCCCCATTACGGTTTGGTCTTATTTGTTACGTTTCAGTAAACGATGTATTACAATGCTGGACAATAATGGTGTTTTGCTGGACACATGCGGCGTTTTGCTGTACAAGTTTAAATGTTGGAAATACTTTGAAAATGCTGTACCATACAGCGAAATACTGTACGTATGGTCACCCTCTATTATAAAGATATCACTTGAGCATAGTTTAAACTATAGTGCATTGTAGATATTCAACCAAAGATTCTTGCTATCTCTGAAAAAAAAGTAAACCCAAAAATATAAAAGCTTTATTTTTTAATTTAACTTGTGAATTAAAGGACTAGTAAACCAGATGGGGTATGTTTTATAACACGGTTTCTTCTTTGAGACATGTTGATCAAGAACAATATATAATTGGTCATAAAATAGGCTCAGCGCTGTATCAACGTGTGAAATGTTACGAAGAATTGTCCAGTCGACCAGTAATAAGTCTCTTTGAAGGGCAACAAAGTTTGCTTTTTTAAAGTAGTAAGCGAATGCGTTAAATACTGGATTTTTAATAGTAGCGTTTTTATAGTTTATTTCGAATGCTAACGCAGAATGATATCTGTCTTCTGGATGCACCAGAACATTATCGCCCTTTTGGACCGAGCATGAAAAAGTTGAACAAATTAAATCCAAAAATCTCATGTCACAGTAATGTTATTGTATTTTGTTAAAAAGATTATTATTTAACGATTGCATTCTGGTAGAAGTATCACTTACTAAGTTGTATTGTGCAATGTTGAAATCCCCTACCATCAATACCGGAGCATCATGTAAGCATTGTATTGACCCAATGGAGTCAAATAAAACATCATATTTTAAAACTGATGTACGAGGTTAAATATAAATAACAATTATGAAAGAGATTTGGTGAAAAATATTTTATCTGTAAACTTAAATGTCAATATGTTTAATTTCAGAAAATGAGGTATACTCGGAATATACAGTGCTTATTTTTTCGTGTTTAGCATACGACTAGTATACAAGTTAATAAAATAGTAACAGGGCAACAGCCAGTCGACAGGGGGATATCGCGCATCGTGTCATGGCGGCGGTGACGCCATGCGTAGAGTTAGTAGAGTTGGCGCGAAATAAATATCATATGACAGACGCATGTTGCAGTAGTTTGTGAGTCATTTATAGTGATTTATAAGATATTAAACAGATATTTGTATTATATTGTGTTGTAAACTTTGTTCTCTGTGAGTAGTTTTAGAAAAAAACATTGAAAAATTGCGGTACGGTTATAACAGTAACAATAAAAGCAAAGGATTTAAGAAAGATATTATGGTTTTTCGCGTTCCTCGACAGTAAGAGCTTAGTCAGAAGTGAGGAGCGGCCCAAGGGCGGCTCCAGCGGAGGCTCAGAGGAGCATGTCGTTCCCTAAATTAAAATTCTTAAAATCCATGAGCCTTTCAATAAAAAAAATATGCTAAATAGGCAATTCTACCCTCCTTCCCAAGAAAATTCGACATGGAGCAGCCCTTGCAGTGGCTTGTAACCCTGCAGATAAATTTTCATATGTATTCCAAGCACTTTCAACCTTCCAATTATAAGAAGGACCTCAAATCAGAACTTAACATTGGTTCATTCGCAACTTGGGACTTCTAAACTGGAGACTCTACCCTTTGAAGGCTAAAAATTCTGCAATATAAGCAAAAGTGAAATTATAAATGTCGCAAACAAAAAAAATTCTACTTGTACTTAATGAATGAATTAAAAAAACTGTCAGTGACTGCATTTTAGTAATTAAGTACTTAGATTAAGATTATTTTAGGTAGTAGGTTCAATGGTGCCAATCTACTGTCAAAACAGTAGCCTAATGTCTTAGGACAGATTAATACACAAGGCTAAATAATGAGATTATTAACAAAAAAATATTTATTTATGTAAATTGGTTTCCCCTTATACTGGGACGCTGTTTCTACAGCCCCTACAGTTAGGCCACCACTGTAATACAATATATTAAAAATTTATGACATTCGGCTAAAAGCCGTTTTGCATAAGAAATGCGCTGGGTCCTTTGGATACCCTTTATAATTTATTTCATATGAATATTTTTATGAAAAAATAAAATAAGTACCTACCTATAATAATATCAACAATATTTAAATCAACTTAAATTTATCTTTTCGATGTAGATAATCCCAAATAAAAGAATATTGACGGCAATATATTAGCTTATTTATTTTGGATTAAGCAATCTATCCTTATCAGTACTGCTCAAGTTATCTAAAAAATTTACAATCCATATATCATTTGTAATCATTTGAGAACCAGCTTTACGAAAATGTTAGCTATCTCAGTACAATATGAATTATCTGCTCTACTGGTTTTTATTTGCAGTTCTAACTTGCTTATTAGTAATTTTAGCCAGTTATTTATTACTTAGTATTATTTGGGATGTTTTTATACGACCGAAAATAAAAGAAACAATGTTTGATAAGGAGGAATACCGTCATCAGACGCGCAATAAATACGAATTTGATAAAAACGATGTAGAAGATTTAACAAGAATCGAAAGAAACTTAAAAACCGATTTTCCAAGGGTAAGTTTTAATAACGAAGTTAAAAATATCGATTTAGAAAAAAAACTTATAGAAAAAAGAACCACAAAAAAAGGAGAAATATCCCAAGAATACGATTCCACTGCCGCGTTAAATGGAAGCCTAGTTTCTGTAAATGAAAATGAAAAAGAATATGAAGAATCTGTAGTAGATTGTACAGAAAGTGAAGAAACGTTTAATAGTACAGATCCTGAAAGTACTGCAACTTTTAAAGCTATAGTAAATATTGAGAAGGAAGCAAATCGCGTGGAAAATGAGATGAATAATTTCAGAGGAGGTATCAATGATTTACAATATTACGAAATTAATGAAAAATTCATAAGGATGATGATCGCACTGTGCGACTTAAATTGTGAAAACGATGAATTGAGAAAAAAGAAAAATTCAGTGATGTTACATATTGAGCAGTGTCAAAATCGTTTGAAGTTGAAATCTCACCAAGTCCTTTAACAATAAAGTAATTAATATTTTTCACATAAATATAAGATCGAATTCAATATATTTAAAATTTATTTTAATTGATTTGTAAAAATAAAAAGATTTTAATATTTATTATCATAAGTAATTAATTTTTTAGAGCTACAATTCAAAACTCACCATTCTCAACTATTGTTGATTAAGAAATAAGGTACATTCCCTTATTTAATCATTCTAAAAAACACAAAGTAATCATTTCCGTATCAGATTCTTATCTGATAACACAAAGCAGTAATTCCTTGATTATTTTATTAAAATAATGTATGCCATGAAATATTCCAGGCAGCACACTTTGGTATAAATTACGAATTTTTTTAGGTACTACCATACGTATAAATACGGTTGATGTACTACCAAATATATTCGTGAAAATGTCCGCCTTATAAACGTCGATTACTAAGAATTTTTCCACCTATAATTAAACGTTTTTACTATACGTCTATATTAGATTTATAGTTGTAGTATATTTATACGAATTCACTTTGGTATAAAATACGTTTATTTATGTACTACAATATACGCATGGATACTGTTGATATGCTACCCAATATATATATATGTGAAAATGTCCGCCCTATAAACGTATATTTTATTTATTTTTTATACGTCTAACATTACTACTTTATCTACCTTTAATTATCCTGTTTTACTATACGTCTATATTAGATATATTTGTATGATTTTTATTAATGTGTAAAATGCGTCTACCTGATATTGTTTTAAATGTATTTCAAACACAAATTAAATAAAGTTATCAAAACAAAATTTCTAAAAGAGACCATGGAAAAATGTTAATATTTCTTAAATGATAGTTTGGATTTTATCCATAGCAGGTGTGTATACACTAGAAATAGGCATTACTCGTGTTTCTATTTTAGTTGTAATTGGCCTAAATATTTAGAATATTTTTTTGATCACTTGTTATATGTACAGAACAATATTTAATTAAAAAAAAATTAACAATAAAATACTAAAAAATAAATAAATACAAAAAAATAAACACTAAAATACTGAATAACAAACTAAACAAACTTTTCTTTAACTAACAAAAAATATATATGAAAATAAAAATCTTAGCTTAACACTTTGGATGTGTTGTGTCCCAGACGGGCCTTAGCTAACTTAAGCTAATCTTGCATGGCACACCTAATCGTTCGGCCGGTTAAGTCGCTTGGTTTGCCACCATTCCTATAACCAAAATGTAACTCAATTTCAGGTGAAATATTTTCTAAAAGCTCCGAAGTTAAATTTGTATTATTTTCTTGGAAATTATTATAAATAATAGAATCAAATGCTATATTAATGTCCGAAGCTTTATTAATGTTATCTTGATTGGGAATAAAAAAAAAATGATTTGACTTTAAAGCATCTTGAACATTTTACGCTATTTTTCTACGTAGATGACGCAGAGACAGGGTTATTTTAGACATTTTATTAAATAAAAAACAACTGACCAAAAAAAAGGAAAATAAGTATGCTTGGAATAACTAGGTAACCTAAAAAATACGTATAAAAATAAAAGAAACAAAAGTAAGGTTATGTTTTGAAGTTTCTATAAGCATTTAACACACTGTACGTACCTATAAAACAGTAGTTGTTGTAAAATGCAACAATTATTAAAGGAGTAGCTAAATTAAAACATTAATAGAAACTTACCTATGCTTTTAATCAATATCGTAAAAGCCAGGACGCCAAAGCAACAAAACGTGTACACAAATGAAAATGGACGAACCGATGAACCTGCTCCCACAAACCACTCCCTACACTGAACAATAATACTACACATACGCATGAGTAGAAATGAGAAAAGACCGTACCACTAGTACATTATCCTCCATCCGCCATCTAGTTCCATGTGTATGGGCAATTTGTTATAAATATAACAGGTAATATAATTAAAAAAATATGGATGTAATGTAAATAAATATATCTATAAGCTTTTAATTTAAATAAACCTAAATATATATATATTATTTACTTCTGTCTACTAGTTCATCGTAAACTGGTATTATGCGTTTAAGGTGACTTACATTTAAACGTAAAATAATAAAGTTATATTAACTAGTATCGACAAACAGAAGCGTTTAATTTATGTGTTAAAAAACGTTAAGTATAAAAATGGTAGATGGTAAACGTTTAAAAAATCAACCAAGACTAAATTTAAACGGGAATTATAAACGAAGAAAACATATTGTAATATAATGTAAATTTATACGAATTTAATTTAAATAAACCTAAACGTATATTTAGGCCCACTGTATATAAATAGTTCATCGCAAACTAAAAATAGTCGTATATTGTTAACTTTATTTAAACGTAGAAAAATTTACAATTATATACCATAGGATGTATATAAAAAACGTATAATATATAGTTTAAAACACGGTATTTATATTAATCGCAAACTGTAAACATATACGGAATCAACCAATACCAAAATTAAACGAGTATTACCTATAAAATACGTTAGTTATACTAATGTGTGCTGCCTGGGATTAATCTAGAATATAGCGGGTATTTTAATTTTATATAACATAAAAACTAATTAAAGGTCGGTAGTGTTGTTATAGCCATATAAAAAGTATAGTGTTCAACTCACGATTGTTAAACAATATACTATTCTATTATAGTTTAAACACCCATAATTTTACTAATACTAAAATTAAATTCTGTGAAATGTTAAAAGTAAAAAAATACATAAATAATCTAAAATCAATATTTATTTCTATTTAAACGGTGGGTCCAGGGTAAAAACGAACTAAGTCACATTTTGGACTTTTAAAAGTGCAGTTTTATATTCCAAACAATATTTTTAAAAAAATTTTATTTAATAAATTATTTTTTCTACAAACGTCAGTAAAAGTATAATTTTAAACGCATGCTGTCAGTGTCTAAAATGAAGTATTTATTCAATTAAACTTACAATCAGTGAAACTACAATTATATTAAGAAACTCCATGGCCTATCTCATTGGTAGATGTAACAGAATTTATTTTGGTGAAGTTTGTACCAGGGCAGAGAGCAATGTTATCCGCCGAAGTTTTGGACAAAATTTGATCCGCAATGTTCTGTTTTCTTTGTAGCGAGTCTTCTATATAACCCTCTGCTACTGTATTGGACTTCCATCCACCGTGTCTTTTAATTGTAGTAAGACTAGCACCAGAGTTCGCCAACAAACTAACTAAGGAACGTCGGAAACAATGTCCAGTATAAAGATGCAAATCAGGCAAATTTAGAAATTCAGCAATTTTGGCAGGCATCTTACCAAATGTGTTGATTCCAACTGGAGTCCTGGTACATTTATTTTTAATGCATTTTATAAAAACTCTTGAATGATTAATATCAACTGAAAGAAGGGCTATGTACTTTTTATATTAGTTCATATACAAAGTACCACTTACAACAAAGGTGCGTTGCACATTAGTTTTTGTATCTGGTATATTCACAACTAGTAAAGTTTCGGAATCCTCGATATTATTTAATGTCAAATTGCACAGTTCCTCTAGACGACAGGCTCCAAAAACACCGAAAATGGCAGCAACTTTCTGCATTAGATATATTTCATCCGGGGCTTCTGCGAGATATTTGTCGATTTGTTTCCTTGTCAATACTTTCGACTTTTTCGGTCGATATCCTTCACTCTTTCGAATCAAAAAAGCCACAAGCTTGTAATATCTACTTATGTCATGATTATTTATGTTCATCATCGACTTTAACATAGAGTATTTCGACCAAAGCGTTGACAATTTCCATATTTTGGACTTTTCTTCAAAGTATGCAAGAAGCACTTTTTCACTGGCCTCCTTGCCACTGACATTTTTCTGATCACACCATTTCAAGAAACGATCGTATGAAAACTCGTACTGTTGCTTTGACTTACTAGGCAATAATTCAAAAGCAGCTTTTGGCAGCTTCTTCAATTTCAGGCGGTAGAAATTCATTTTATTGATAACTTTCTATCGATCAACGAAGAAACGAGAAAGAATAATTCGTGATTTATTGACGTTAGTTGTCAACAAAGACAAATCAACAAATTCGGTTTTTGTTTACCTTGGCAACTTTTTTCATGAATAGATTAGATGGAATTGGATTCAAAACTGATAATCTCTAGGCTATTATTTTATCAATTAATTAATGTAAAATACGTATGAGTTTATTTTGGACTTTTAATGGTGTTCGTAGAAAAAATAGTGCATGGTATACGTGCTAAAAGTGATTTTATTTTGTTTAAAGGGCCTTCGGCGTCGTGTTCCAAACATCCCTTCTCACAAAATAAAATATCACTTTTAGCATTTATATCATAAATAACAATTTTGCTTATACACGTTTAAAATTATTTTAAAGTATATCACTCACAAACATAAAATATTAAAATGAACTAATAAAGTTTAAAGTTTATAAGTTGGTACCAAAATAATATGAGTAAGTAGAAAATAAAAAGAACTACTTACCTATTTGTTATTATCACAATTTGAGTTGATGTAATCAGTAAAACATGCAACAGACTATAAAAATAGTGTCCAAATTTCATCCGTATCAAAAACTAATTTTTCTCTTTAAAAAATAACAGCCTGTATAGTGGTTTAATACAATGTTACAGACAAAACAATGTTTTGACAAATCAAATTTTTTGTTAATAAAATAATGTGAAATATTTAGATTAAATCATGGAGGTAGTAGGGAGAGGAGTCGCTACTCGAGTACTGCAGTGGATTTCTCATCATTCGTACTTGGCATGTTGAGAAGCTCACTATTTGCTAGAAGATAGCATCGATTCTTATGTTAAATCGAATTGGGTATCGATCGAGACGTGAGAATAAGGCTGCCTTGGCGTTTTATGGTTGTTATGTCATATCATTAAATGGTGTTTTGTTTCAATTTCAATAAGTGGCCACGGCATGTCAAAGTTGTATTTAATTGTGATATGTTTGGGTAAGATAAACACAAAATGTTAATCAAAAACTTCCCACCAGTGGAACAGCTCTGCGATGTTTAGCGGCACTACAACGCTTGTGGATTA